GACTCACATCTCGTTTGCTATCAGCGTGACAACCACAACCACAAACAAAAAAATTCCAGGAACCTGTAAAAGAGAAATGTATTATGGCAACTTAACCACTGCATGACATTATTTGTTAATTTATTTTAAATAACCTCTTCTACCAAAGCTTTCTAAAGAAATTTCAAAAGCACTGTTTAAACTTCTATCGCGAGGCTGTTTTGGCTAACCACCACCAAAAATCAAAGGCAGAGGATTGTAACTTAAACTGCTTAAAAACAAATGTGATTAGGGGAGCAGTGTCTCTTTGAACATTAGTGTATGAACAAAGAAAAGAAAAATAAAGTTGAATTTTGCCTTTAGATGCAAAACATACAGAGGCAAAATGATACCGTAAGAGGTTCATTATGTCTTAGTCGCTGACTGGAACGCAACACAAATACAAACCTGTTTTACACTTTGGTTGTGTGATACCCTCGTGGGTTTGATATTTGTGCAACAAAACTGCGAATGGTTAGGACAACGAGTTGGAAAAGGAGACGATCATAAGAGGCAAAACATCTGTTTCTGATTTACCAAAGAAAACAACCACTTGGCTAATAAAAGTGGGCAGTGGTTACACCTGACGTTAGAGTTTTCTGTGTGGCTTCTATTTGTTGAGATGTAAACTATTGTCTTTCAATAAAGGAAAGAAGCTACTTAAGTCTGTTCTTTCCTAGCCAGAATAAGCTCCTCTGGTCTCAAGGCCTTCAGTGAGTTTTTTAAATAGAGGAAGATTTGATCGAGTGATATATAAGAAGTAATTGGGTATATTAGTATACAACTTAAAAATCAAAGAACTACTGCAGTTTTAAAGGGTGAAAATATTCACACCTTTAAACATGGAAAATCCTCACTGAGTCTTAACTGTTTGCCCTGTTTTAATGTATGTGGTCTAATTAAAAATAAATTAAGAATAACTCTAAAAAGCAAATAATTTTGTCTAGTAATCACCAGCCTATAAAGTCCCTTTAACATTTAAATATGATGATTGCCTCACTTTTAAAAAACAAAATGAAAATTAGATGCATGTCTGAGTCTCATGTGCCTGAGAGAACTTTTTTGTTTCTTTCAATTTTGTGTTAATAATATTTTATTTTCCTTCATTGCCTTTTGAAGTCTAAGTTTAATAGCATGCCAGGCGTATTCATTTGTATAAACCATTATAAACTTATTAGTAGGCTTTTAGTTTTTCTTACAATAGCATTGTTATCAGTTTATTTTCATACATAAGGGTGCTTTCTAACATAGAACAAATTGAATGGTTGGGACAGGGAGGGGTGTTTAAGTGGGGTGGAGGGAGACATTCTAGTTTTTTAATCAAATATGTACATGTTTATAAATAAGCACATACTATTGAAAATAATTATTTGCAAACTGGAAGGATTATTTTGTCCTCTACATTATTTTAACTGAAATTACTTTTTTGGTAATTTGGGTAAGTAACATCTATTCACTCTATTGATTTACCCCTTCCTCTGTCTAGCTAACATTTCCTTCAAAAGAAATAGGAAACATGTACTAAAACACTTTGTAAAGCGTATGAGTAAAAAAGGGTAAAGACAGAAGTATGACTAGGCAGGTGTATTAGGAAGTACGTGGAGTGCCTGTTCAGAGTGATCGCTGTCATTGGGGAAGAGGTCTGGGACATCTCACTCCCCAGTCTGTCTCTGGCTCTGTTTGCTATTGACTGGCTTCCTGACCTTAGACAATCCACTTAACCTCTTTATATCTCAGATTTCCCATCAGAGGAGAGGATAAATAATGCTGCCTATCCACAAGGGTGTTCTGAGGTTTAATCAATCAGTCTTTGTGCAGCACTGACTGGAGACATGCAAAGATTCCACTTAAGTAGCCTGTGAACTTGGATGTCCAATTGAGGTAACAGTGAATGACTTCCAAGAGGATAGGCACCCAAAACCAAACAAAAAGTAACCTGGACTGATGTTGTAGCCAATTTCTTTATGATGGGTGATAGAACAATTCTCAGATTAGGGTATAGATATCATGACCACACACACAGAAAAAACATGATGAGTCATAATCAGTGACAATAATGAGACTGGCATTGGTTTTAAGAAATCTTGGGCATATGATAAATCTGTGGCATCAGTCCTCATACCCTTCAGAAGGAGAGGTAGTGATGGTTGTTTCTTACTTATTCACTGACTCCTGCTTAGCTGAGAGAGATAAATTGATCAGAGGAAGAGATGGCAGGAGACTTAGATTATCCCACCATTACTTTGGTGACGGCCAGCCTTACTAAACCACCTAATCCAAGGTATAGAGGGTTACGAAAGGGGTTTGAAATAGAATACAAAACAAATCTAGCTAGAGATAGACCATGACACAGAGACACAAACAAAAGTTCAACTATTTCCTGTGGCATGATAGAACACTGGAACGCAGACACCCTCTCCCCGTCTCACCCAACCGGTGTCTTATTCTCAAGAACCGGTCCGTCAGACCTTCCTGGGAAGGCAGCAATAGCCTGAAGTGCAGCAGTGGCTTAATCTCCCGGCCCAGGAAATGCTTTTCCTTTCTCCATGCTTGGGCCAGTCTCGACCAAACAAAGGCCACATTACGGAGTGAACTATGGCAACTAAAATAAAAGGGATCCATTATTGTTAGCCAGTGTAATTCAGCTTGGCATTTGAATTTTCTCTGACTCTCTGTTTTATTTTTAAGCATTGGCCAAATAATGTCACCAGAAAAACAGATAGGGACCACTATAGATGTGAATATTAGAAATAATACCGTGTTCTAACCATAATCAGTTATAGCCATTAACTGATCATCAGTACTGGAATACACACACACACACACACACACACACACACACAGAGTAAATAAACATTATGGTTGGCCAACAGTTGCATGAATATAAACAGAAGCTATAACTTGGTATTTGATTTAAAATATTGAATTTTAGTCTGAGACATCTCCTATTATGCAACTTGTTCTTATTTATTAACTTAAACTGCCCCAAATGTATTAGGTTGAGGGCATATTTATTCTCCCCTTCCATCATGACATTTCTTTTCTAGTAAGCTTAGGGCCCTCAGAAAAAAGCTGTTATCAGAAAATAAATAAATAAACAGTAAAGATACGAGCTCTGGTGTTGTGCTTTGAACTTCCTGCCGTGTGCTGTGTGAGAAATGAGAGACCAGAGGACAAGCAGTGATGCATACGCACAGGGCACTGAAGGACTTGGCGGAGAAATAATGGAAATCTATTAGATCTCTCTTGATTCACCCTTAGGATCTGGGCAATTCTGTTTTCATTAAGGCCAACAGATTTCATTTCCATGTTCCAGATATTTTTATAGAACATAGATGCTTTTCACTACAACTAAATTCTCTGGCCAGTCCCTCATACTACAGTGTTCAAAGCTTCCCAAGGCATATTACTTATAAATCATACTTGACTAATATGCCCGTAGGAGTTGCCCGATGAATGGGCAATTCTTGTGTGAAGAGTTCCCTCTGAGTAGACATATTTTCCTTTCTCTACCTCTTCCATTTTGTCCATTATGATATGCTGAGAAGGTATTCTGTTCTCTACTCCAGAAATTCAAGGTAGCTAGTCATAGTGTAGACTTGAAGACCATGGAATATTAGTTAGTAGAAGAGCTCAAACATCACAGTTTGTTTCTATTCATATTAGAGATTGTGGAGCAAAACCCTCAATCTTATAAAAATATGTTCCTTGTATTAAGCGGGCAAGAATAAAAGAATATTGTTTGCAGTCATTTACTGCTAAAATATTTCAGAGGATTAGATTAGGAATAAGTGAAGCATTGTTTGATCACTGACTAAAGTAGAGAAAGATTCAGAAAGGATGTATTTAATTCTATTAGTAAATTTCCCCCTTTCTCTCTCTATAAAAGCAGAAGGAAATAATCTAGAGAAATAATAGCACAGAAGGCTTCAAATGATTTTTTGGTTTCTTCTGGGAAAGATCCAGAAGTAGCTGGGAGGAAGATGAGTTGAGTTATACTATTCTAAACTCTATTCTTCCATGATTTTATTCTGAGAGTTTTTATTCACAGATGTATAAATGGTTCCCCAAATAGGAACTCCAAGTAAGTTGAGCTACTGATATTCTTCAGTCCATTAACGTATCTCAACAGCATTTTAAGGACTTAATAGTAAGGCTTTGTGTTTACTTCTTTTTATTAATGCCCATCCCCCTTTTAAAAATACATTGATTTGGAATAACACCTTCTCCTTCCCTTCTCCCCACTCTAGGAACATTTCAGTGCCTACTTATTTTCTACATTTTAGAGAGAGATGATTGTGTGACCATAATCTTCTTACTTCAACTTTAATAGAGACAAGAATTTATTTGTCTTAGTGTTAATTAAACAGCAAGTATAGATAGGATATTATATACTATTATGAGTCCTAGGAAATGCAGTGTTTGGTGACTAAATCTTCATTTTTATAAGTATGCAATGAATCCAAATCTCTTAATTGGAATTTAATTTAATTTCAGTTAATTTAATGTAATTATCAGACCCAGTTTTTTAATTCAGTGTTCTGAGTGCCTCACAAAGTTTTGTTTGCCATACATAATTCTTTTTAATTGTTCTTATGTTACTTTGTAGGTAACAGATCAGTGCAAGAGACATTTATGATTTATTATTATCACCACCCATTTGAGGGGTTTCTTTCTTTTGCCCACAACAACTTAACCGAGAAGACTGCAACACTACTCATTATTGAACCAAGGTTCTCCTTCCTCACAATAAAGAAATAGACACTCGATTATTCAGATTATCTAGGATATCAGCTAGACAGTGGAAGAGATAAACATGGTGAAATGTTACTTGCCAATATCTGCATTGAATTTTTATTACCTAATTTTCTCCCCTTCAATTACTCAAGGAAGCCTGTTTTATGCCTGCTTCATTCAGACCAGGCAAGGCAAATAGAGAAAATGTATGGGAATAATGATGTTTCCTCCACCTAACCCACTAGGCCGGCAGTTAACCATCTTCAACACCCAGGCGCAAATAGCCATTGGCGGAAAGGACAAAGGACGCCTCTTCCAAGGCCAGCTCTCTGGGCTTTATTATGATGGTTTGAAAGTACTGAACATGGCGGCTGAGAACAACCCCAATATTAAAATCAATGGAAGTGTCCGGCTGGTGGGAGAAGTCCCATCAATCTTGGGAACAACACAGACGACCGCCATGCCACCAGAAATGTCTACAACTGTCATGGAAACCACCACTACCATGGCCACTACCACAACCCGCAAGAATCGCTCAACAGCCAGCATTCAGGTAAGTTTTTTTCCAACTATTAATTGTTTTTGCTTTTCTGTCTTGAGACATTGCTATTATGGTCAGTGTCGCTATGTAGTGAGAAGGTGTGAATTACTATGTTTACAGAAGGATGCATACAGATACTCATAGTAATAAGATCCAGGAGCAGAGAAAGACAAAGTCATTGCTAAAGAAGTTGCAAAGTTTTGTGTGCACTCATGGGCTATTACTCCTATCATATTGATTATTGAAAGAGTAAAGCTATTATTCAAAATGAGCAATGGACAGCACTTTCCATATGAAATACTCCCTCCTCTTATTTTATTACCATTCTCTTCAATTGTAAGAAGAGAAAAGGGGGAAAGGAAAATGTGTTGTCATAGGAAAGACTATGACTTAGTGAAATTCTGTTCACATTTTTCTGATGGTTTTTCTGGGACATGAATTGTTCATTTTTGAAGCCAATGGGTAGCATTAAATTAAGGCCAATTGAAGCTAGAGGTTCAACTAGTCCTCATGAAATGCAGTCTTTGTGTTTGATTTTCACTGCTGACAAATTATACTTTATTTGTTGTCCATTTTGTTTCCTTTATATTTGATTATGCACACCAATGTTAGAAAATGTGAAGGTCTGAGTTTAACTGTGTAGGAAGTTCTTATTTTGTGGTAATGTTTTTGTTTTTTCACTAAAAAGTAATTATACTCAAGCTAAAACTTAATGCTTTGCTGACTCCCTTGACATTTCATAAATCTAGTTAGTAGAGGGTAGAAGGTTAATCTAGTTATTAGCCTTAAATGCTCTGGCATCAAATAAGACATTCCAACTGCTTGTGGGGAAATTACCCCTAGCCTAGTTAGTGTTTATAGAAAATTCACCAGAAACCAGCACTTTCCTTTCTGTTTCTTACTTTTAAGACATTGTCCAGGAACTCAGCTGAGTCTTTGACATCACCCTTCTGTTGACTTCAGTGAGTATTACAAACTGATTTAAGTCGACAGGCAATAAACCCACTACATGTTCTAATTCTTCTGAATTAAGTTAACGAGAGTTAGGTAAGGGCAAACGTGTTGTCTTCCTTTTTCCTTTCCTTTGAGCAAAAATATCTAGTCAGCTCTTCCGTGACTCCACAGACAGGCTGTGAAGCCTTATGCAATGATGATAGTATCGGGCCAATCTTATGTGTTTCGGAAAGTCTGCAAGAACCTGGTTAGCAGAGCAGGCTGAGTCCCATGTGCCATTTCATGCATACCTACACACATGCTCCGAGAAATAGCTTTCCCTCTGATATTAAAGCAATAACTCCTGACACTTCACTCTACTCACTGAAAGAAGATAAAAGGCAATATATATTTCTATTATGACTCTCTCTAGCTGAAGAGCAGATCTGTTTATTGTTGGTGAAAGTGTAGTTCTGTCTGCACAGGTCTTGGCAGACTTGTTTTGTTTCTGTCAAAATGCATTCCACTAACTCTGTGGGAAGCAGAGGAGAAAATGGCTTTTTCTTCATAGCAATGGCTGGTCCTGTAGTCTTTTTCAAGGCCCAATTTTCACTGACCCCAGGAGGATTCAGTGTTACCCAGGATTCAGGGACTAAGCCATGGTAATTATCAGTTTTTGGCTTTCTTTCTTGCAGCAAATACATACATGGGAACAGATTGGGTGAGTCCACACACAGAGAGAGCCAGAGCTTCTGGACAAGTGTAGGGGACAAAGTACAGAAGTCTTGCCAGTGGCGATGACCTGAAACAGCATAGAACATGTTCTCCTTTCAGTGGATGTGGACAGCTGGAGGATGCTCTGTGGCAGCCTCCTGTCTGGGGTGCGTTTCTTTTCCTTGGAGTCCAGCAATAATTGTATTACATCTACATGTTTTTCCTTTTGCTTCCACCAAGGCTATAAAAATGAGTTATAAATCTGTTGCCGCTCTTTGTTTATAAGGGTGTGTAAATGCATACTCTTGGAGGAAAGCCAACAGACGAGCAGAATTGGATTAGGCTGAGATGAGGTATAAAATAGCACCCTGTTGTTTGTAAAGACTAGCTAAATGAGATAACTTTATGACAATGGTTTTGGACATTTTTGTTCATGCCAATGAACCATAAGAACTCTGTCCTGGCCTTGGACAGGTATATCAGTTGGTTGGAAGTGTCAACCCATACACCAAAAAGTGGCAGGTTCGATTCCTGGTCGGGGCACATGCCTAGGTTGCAGGTTTGATCCCCAGTCATGGTGCCTATGGGAGGCAACTAGTCGATGTTTCTCTTTCACATTGATGTTTCTCTCTCTGTTTTTCTCTTCCTCCTCTAAACACATCCTTGGGTGAGGATTGAAAAAAACAAAAACGAACACATACACACAACTTTGTCCTGAGCTCTGTAAAAGCTCAATAGTCTCCCCAGTTGGTGTGGCTCACTGGTTAAGTATTGACCCTTGAACTAAGAGGTCACCAGTTCTATTCCCAGTCAGGGCACATGCCCAGGTTGTGGGCTCAACCCCCCAGTAGGGGGCATGCAGATGGTGGTCCATTGATGTTTCTCTCTCATCAATGTTTCTATTTCTCTCTCCCTCTCCCTTCCTCTCTCTCGATAAGAAAAAAAAATCAATAAAACATATTCAAAAAAACAAAACACAATAGCCTACCTTGTACACAAGGCTATTTTGATCGCAAGTACATTCTAGGAACCACATCAGGCCTATATTAGGACTAGGAACTCAACAACCCTTGGATTATATCCATGGTTTAGGACAATTCCCAGACTCCGAGGACTCTGAGCAAAGAAGGTCAGTTTCAGAAGCTCTAATATGCTCTGTGTAATCCAGCTAATTTTCTTGGATAAAGTGGACTCATAAAGCTTTGATCTCTAGGGAATACTTTAGAAAGGAGAAAAAAAAATTTGGGAAGACTGGATTTCATCAGGCCCATCATTCACTTTTCCGAAAAAAATAGTCTGTTCTGTCCTCCTTTGCTTTGATAACATTGACAGAGCAGGATCGTCCTAAAATGAAGCTGTTCCAGGAGAAACAGAATAAGGATGTGAATTCAAAAGTATAAAAACCCAGTTGTTCAAAAGCCCACTGGTTCCTTCTTAAAGCACATGCTAAGAAAACATTATTTGAGCAGTTTGTTTCTCATAGGCCTTGCTTAGTGTTGATTTCCGATCTAAAGAAAGCTGCAAAGTGCTTTCAGGGACTCTCTTCACTGTGTGAATGTGAACAGAATGTTTTTGAGTTGATATGGCCCTCCGGTGAGTGCGGCAACCTCCTGGGAGTACTATGATCTTTGATCTTTCTGAGCATCTCCTTTATTACAGCTTACTGTGAATTTCATGAACTCTGTTGAATTACTAACAGCTATGGTGCCCAAGCATCAGGTCCTCATCCTGTATTAAGAAGAAGGATGTCTTTCCTGGCCATTGTGGCTCAGTGGTTGAGCATAGATCCATGCACCATAAGGTCGCTGGTTCGATTCTTGGTCAGGGCACATGCCCAGGTTGTGGGCCTGATCCCCAGTGGGAGGCATGCAGGAGGCGGCCAATCAATGTTCTCTTTTATTGATGTTTCTATCTCTCTCTTCCTCTCCTGTCTTCTCTCTCTAAAATCAATAAAGAAAAACAAAAATTTAAAAAGAAGAAGAAGGATATCTCTAGGTGTTTCCTGAATAACTAATAATAATAATAATAATAATAATATTGAGAAAGCAGGTGGCTGGCTGATAATTCTCAAGCAAAGGTTTGGTGCTTAGAAGGTGCTTAGTAAGTATTTATTGAATAAATCAGAAAACAAGATAGACTTTGTTATAATCATCTAACAAATAGAAGGGGCAGGGCTTACAGAATGCTTTCCCTCCAGAATTATCAGTGTGCTTTGAGCAATTTTATTTATTTCCAGTGGTAGGGCTACAGCAGTGATTGCATAGATGTGCTTGGAGTCAGACTTGCCTAGGTTTAAAGCCTAGTTTTTTGGGGTTTTTTTTTTTTCCTAGTTAGCTAAGTGGCCCTGGACAAGTCATATATGCTCTAGTTAACTATTGTTGTGAAACCAACTTTCCCATTAAATTTAGCAGCTTTATATGACAACTACATCATTAGATCTCATAATTCGTGGGTTAGGAATTTGGGCAGGGCTCAGCATGGCAATTCTTCTGGTCCACATGGAGTACACTGGGGTTTCTCAGTGTCTTCTCTGGTCTGGAGGGTCTGACATCACTCATATGCTCTGTGCCTTGGTGGGTGAACTGGAAACACTGGATTCAGCTGGGTCCATTTGTCTCTCCAGGGAGTCTCCATGACTCTCCCTGTGGTCAGAGTAGTAGAACTTTTTTTCATGGAGGCTCAGGGCTCCCAGAGAGTTTTCTAAGAGACAGGAAGTAGAGATGGCCAATTTCTTAAGAAACTGGCACAGTGTCATGTCTACCATTTCTATTGCTCCAAGAAGTCACAGACATTTCTCAGTTTCAGAGAAGGAGACATAAGCCTCACTGTCCAATAGGAAGAGGAGCAAGAGTTTGCAAACAGTCTAAGTCTACCACATTGTAAAACTGGTGGGGTGGGCTCTGGAGAAAGGTACCACTAGTGCTTATAGCATGTGATGGCTGTGAGGATAACTGATATTGTAAGTAAAATACATAAAACAAGCACATCATGACAATAAGCTGTGTTTTAACCTTATTGTAATATTCTATCCCCAATATTTGGTATGTAAATCAATACCCTCTCAAGCAAGCATCTACCTCAGAAAATAGGGCTGTCTCTAATGATTGCCATGTCTGTAGTTCAGAGTGGAGATATGGAGAGATAGGGATTTGAAGGAGGGTCAGAGTAGAATTTGGAGGCTGAAATTAGTATAGGTAAATAAAAAAGACTCTAAGATCTCAAGTCTCTTATACCCACCTCCCCATCTTTAACTTTCTCTTCCATTTTTAAACCAACCTGAATTTCTATGGGTCTTGGAGATTGTGTTCTGCTATGAAATATGTCTATCCACACATATTTTCAGGGTTATAAGAAAGAGGATTTCA